AAAGGCATCTACAAAAAACATAGTGCTAACATCATATTTAATAAAAAATAACTGAATCCTTATACTGGAAACAAGGCAAGTATATCAATTCTCACTACTCTAATTTAATAAACTGCTGGAGGTCCTAACTAGTGAAATAAGGCAAGAAAAAAAAGGGAAGAGATATAGATTGAAATGGAAGAAATAAAAAAATGTTTTATTTGCAAATAACATGATTGTATACGTAGAAAATCCCAAAAAGTTTACAAGAAGCTACTAAATCTAATAAGTGAGTTTAGCAAGATGACAGGATACAAAGTCAAATTCAAAACTCAAGTGTTTCTATATATTAGCAATGAACAAATAAAAACTGAAATTCTAAAAAATACCATTTACAACAGTACCAAAATCCATGAAATACTTTAGGATAAATTTAATGAAATATGTGCAAGATTTGCATGCTGAAAACTATAAAGTATTGATGAGAAAAAATTAAAGACTTCAATAAGTGGAGAGATATATTCTGTTCAGAGATTGTAAGATATATTAAGATGTCAATTTTCCTCCGAATGGTCTATAGATTCATCATAATCTTAATCAAAATTCTAGTAGGCTTTTGAGAAAAACATACACTAAAATTCATATGGAAAAGTAAAAGACCTAAGATAGCCAAAACAATTTTGAAATAGAAGATCAATGTTGAAAGACTCACATATCTGATTTCAAGACTTACTATAAAGCTACAAGACAGGATAATTTGTAAAAGACAAGACATATATATCAACAGAACAGAATACAGGGTCCATAAATATACCTACATATGTAAGGCCAATTGATTTTTGACAAATGTGCCAAAGCAATTCAATGGAGATAGTTTTTAAAAAACGGTGCTGAATAAACATCCACATACAAAACATGAACCTCAGTCCAAACCAAGCAGTATATAGAGAAATTAACCTGAAATGAATCTTATACCTAAATGCAAGGAGCTAAAATTATGCAACTTCTAGAAGAAAAGAAATAATTATTTTATCCTTGAGTTACAACAGAAAAGAGCACAAACCGTAAAACATTAGTAAACTGTATTCATGAAAATTAAAAATATCTTCAAAAGACATTGTTAAAAAAATGAAAATGCAAGCAACTGTCTGAGAGAAAATATTCATAAAACACATATCTATTAAAAGACTAGTGTGCAAAAAATACAAAGAAATCTTACATCTCAAAAATAAGAGAATAAACAACCCAATTCTCCTCATAGAAGAATTCTAAACAATTTATGTAGCTACTCTCCCCTCAAGGAGGTAAAGCTTAACTTCCCCACCTCCACCCCCACTACCAACTTTAGTGCTGGCTGCATTTAGTGACTTGCTTCCAAAGAATAAAGCAGGGAAAGGGAGAAAAAAACAATTCTGCAGAGGAGAAACTCCACAAACACAACCTTAACCAAGTAACTGAGGTTAACATCACCAGTGGTAAGGCATATTGATAACATATACCCCCAGTATGATAAAAAAAGGCCACTCTGACTCTGCGGCATTCTTCCCCAAAACCCATAAGTCTAGTCCAAGCATGAGTAAGTCATGAGACAAACCTAAATTGAGGAAGATTCTATTCAAAACTAACAGGGTCATGAAAAATAAGGAAACACTAAGAAACCATCAGCAAGAAGAGACAAAGGAGGCATTATGACTAAATGTAATGCGGCAACACAGATGGAATCCTGGACTATAAACAGGACACTGGAGACAAAATTAGTAGAATCTAAATAAAGTCTAGAGTTTAATTTAGTTTTTTTTTTTATTTGTGGTATTATAAAACTTACCATCTTAACCATTTTTAAGAATACAGATCAACACTGTTAAATGTACTTACATTGCTGTGAAACAGATCTCCAGAACCTTTTTATCTCGCAGATGAAGCTCTACATCTACCAAAATAAAAAACCCTTTGCATGCTACCCTCTACCCCCGGTAACCATCATTCTATCTACTGCATCAATGAATTTGACTACTTCAGATACCTCACATAAGTGGAATCGTATTGTCCTTTTGTGACTGGCCTATTTCATTTAACATGTTTTCAATATTCATCCACATTGTAACATATATCAGGATTTCCTACCCTTTTAAGGCTGCACAGTTACATGTATGTGCCACATTTTCCTTTTCATTCATTCACTGATGAACATTTGGATTACTTCCATTTCTTGGCTACTGTGAATAATGCTGCTACCAACATGTGTATGTTATTTTTTTAATGGGCAAAAAATCTGAACAAACACTTCACCAAAGGCGATATATGGATGGCAAATAAGAACAGGAAAAGACGTCCAACATCATTATTCATCAAGGAAATGCGAATTAAAATCATAATATCACTATATACCTATAAAAAGCCAAAGAAAATTTTTTAAAAACTCCTGGCTAGGATATGGAGCTAGGATATAGCTCTTGCATATTGCTGAAGGAAATGTAAAATAGTACGTCCACTTTGGAAAACAGTTTGGTGGTTTCTTATAAAGTTAAACATATACTTACCAAATACCCAAAAATCTCATTCATAGGTATGTAACCAAGCAAAATGAAAACTTGTGTTCACATAAAACCCTGTACGACAATGCTTATACAGGCTTTATTTATAATTCCTAAGAAATGGAAACCTCCCAGATGTCCTTCAACTGATAAACAGTCTAAGCTGGCATATTCCTACAATGGAATATTATTTCATAATAAAAAGGAATGAACTACTGATACATGCACCGACATGGATGAATTTCATATGAATACTATATTTAAAAAAGCCAGACTCAAAAGCTATAGAATCCCCTCTCTCCTTCTTTCCCCTTGTGTATACATATATTTTTTTTTTACTTTTCTTCTTTTTAAAAAAAAAGGCAGAGATGTGTGGACAAGAAACTGATCACTGATGCTAGGGGTGAGAGTGAGTGGAAGAGCTGACCTCACAGGAGCACAAGAGAAATTTTGGAGATGATGAAACTCTTCTATAGCTTGAATTTTTATGAAAATTACACTTCTTTATGCATTTGTCAAAACTCAGAACTATATATTTAAAAGGGTAAATTTTACTATATCTAAAAAATACACCTCAAACAACATGACTTAAAAAAGTTTTTTCTACCAGAAGTTTTATCATAGTTTATACGAAATGAAGAACATACTAAAACAAGCTATCTCCATTTGTTATGTTTCATTTAGTAAAAATTTTCACTTTCTTTTCCTATTTGTGTTCTCCTGGTTAACATTATAATTCCCTTGGCGGATTTGAGCATTCCCAGATATCCTCTTTTATCTTGTTGCTATAGCAACAAGGGCTTATCTCATTTGACTGTGTACACAGCCCAGTTAAGCAGGTATGACAGGCTTCTATAAAATATCTCTCAACTCCTTTCCTCATTGAAAGACATCTTTATTCACCTATTGATGGATGCTATAGCTTCTGTGGCAGCTCTTCAGCATCAGAAAATTCTACATTCTTGAAAACAAGGATGTTGGTAAAACTGGGTAGATGTGGTACACTGAGCAAATTGGCCAGTGGGAAGTCTGCTAGAGGGTTCTCATGGAGACTTCCTAGCTCCTAAAAAAAGAGACATGTGTCTTGATGTGACAAGTGGAACTTGCTATTCTGAGAGGAGCTGACCTGACGCTAAAAGCGATTATACTGCGAATGAGAGCCGAGAAATAGAAAAAAATCTGGGTCCTTGCAAACTTTGTAAGGCAACTGATCACACCACTGTGGAACTGTCATTCTTTAGAATTCTTATAAAGTAAAATAATTTTCCTATTGTTTAAAATAGTTTAAGTCAGAGTTTTTTGATATTTGCAGTTGAAAACATTCTACTAATACAAGGCCCTACTCCCAACTACCTAAGTCATCATAGCAAAGCTATAAATAGCTCTCTCTTAAAAGTTTTCCTCTACTGTAAAAAAATAAAGTCAATTAGAAAAAAAAAAACTTCTCCTCCTAGACAATCCTTCTTTTCCACTGTTTCCTTCTACTCCTTCTCCTGGTACTTATTCTAAATCCCCTCTGTTTTTCTCATGATACAGGAGTTCCAAGCAGAAGATAGAACTTTCACAAATAGTCTCAACAAAAGGGATAAAGCAGTGACAGAAAGCAGATCAGTGGTTGCCCAGGGATGAGG